GGCCACAGAAAGTGGGGGGCAGCCGCATGGATCAAGGAGGTACGGGCGACCTCCATGACCAGGCCAATGCCGCGCACCGCAACCCCATTCTGTTGTGGAGAGGCCGGAAGCGTGAATGACTGCTCAATGCCGTGCTCAGCACAGTAGGCTGCCAAGAGGTCGGAGGAGAACTCACCACCTCTGTCAGAGTGCAAGCGCAGGACAGGAAAGTCTGAGTGAAAACGCTCGCTGAGCTGGAGACGGGCTCTGCGGATCCAGGGGATCAAGACATCAGGGACCTCACCCTTGGTGCGCAAGGGGAAGACCGTGGTGTAGCGCGAGTAGTCGTCAACAACTATCAGGAAGTACCTCTCCTGACCCTGACCACGGACGCGGGCTGGGCCCCACACGTCCATGTGGAGCGTCTGCAAGGGAGCAGTCGTCGGGGGAAACGAGGAGGAGTGAGGAGCAGCGCGCTGCCGTCCCTCGACACAGGGGAGACAGGTAGGAGCAGGGGAGGGCGGGAGGGGAGGAAGGACCCTGGGCAGGCCAGAGACAAGGTACCGGGAGTGCATGGCACGAAGCCGTTGCATAGACGGGTGGCCAAGGCGGTGGTGCCAGAGGACAGTCTCGTGTGCCAGAGAGCGATACGAGCAGGGGGCCGATAGCTGACCTGACGCGGACGCAGACGCAGTCGCAAACGCAGCTACCTGAGGGGACTCAGTAGTCAGTGTGTACAGGTCCGACCCCGGCTGCCGAGTTAAGGTAGCCAAGTGACGGCCCGTACGAGCACACGTACAGTGTGTCACGCGCTCGTAGGCAGGGGTGAACTGGTGAACACCCCTGTCCTGGAGCACACATCCTGCCACCAAGTTCGTAGAGAACGAGGGGAGGTGGAGACCTGACAGTGTGCCCGACGGGACCGCAGGACAGGGAAGGACACTGGAAGAGGTCACAATGACCGGACCCCCAGAGGGGTCAGCAAGGGAGACAGCAACTGGCCGAGCAAGCAGCTCAAGGGCAGTGCGGTCAGGAAAGAAGCAGCGAGAAGCACCTGAGTCCAGTGTGAAGGTGTGCAGTGCTGCAGTCGACTCAGTACCAAGGGGGGCAAACACACAAGCACCTAGAGCAGCTGCCTCACCAGCACCTGGGGTAGCCGACACGCTAGGACCTGGAGCGGCAGACGCACTGGCCCTAATGCCCGGGTCGGGCGGCACACACAAGTACTCAGCACCCTCTCCACTAGTAGACATAACATACATAGCAGTGAGAATAGCATCAAAGTCTAGAGCATAGATATCAATCCCCTTCTTCAGGAGATCAATCCAGCGGGGCAGCTCAGTGGCCTGAGGGAACTGAACACGCCAAGCGTCGTCGAGACGAGCGAAGCAGCGCTGTGTGGCGTGCGGTCATCCACACTGCTGACCAATGCGGTCACCAGCGCGAATGACGTACGTGCAGCTAAGACCACCCCCACCCCTGTGCAGAGAGTACCACTCACGGACCTCCTGGGGCGAAGGAGTGTGCTGCTGGCCCTGGCCACCGCCAGCGCCTCCACGGCCACCACCACCGCTGCCACCTCCTCGACCACCCCAGCCCCTGCTGCCGCCTCGTCCACCTTCACCCCAACTACCGCCTCCGCCCCTGCCACCTCCCCCGCCGCTGCCGCCACCGCCACCACCCCCACCGCTACCACTCGCCCCTCCAGCCGAGCCACCACCCCCACCGCCTCCACCGCCCCCACCGCCGCCTCCCCCGCCGTCACCGCCACCACCCTTGCCCCCTTTGCCCTTGCCGCTGCGGCGCCCGCTAGAGGCAGACGCAGCACCGACCTTCTCAGCACCAAGAAGGTCGACAGCAGCAGCAGAGGCGACAGAGGGAAGAAGGGGGGAAGGAGAACACCCCTCAAAGAATGGGGTACGAGGGTCGCCACGAGAGGCACCTTCAGCGACTATGCTAGTCTCGGCTGCAAGTAGTTGCTTCTCGAGGAGGGCAATGGTGAGCTCAGTGGGGCAGCGAGCTAGGAAGTGGTCCCTGACATCACGCAGTGTGTCAGGGAGTCGGGTGACTAGGTGGTAGAGAGTGAGCTAGAGTGGAGGGGGATGCGTGGCAAGGAACTCAGCAGGCATGGCGGCACGGAAGCGGGCCTCACTAGTACGGAGGTGTGTGATGAGGTCAGCAACTGTGTGAAAAGAGGCCAGGTCGGGAAACAGGTAGGGGAGGGAGAGACGGCCTAGTGCGGCAGAGGCAGGTGAGGAGTAGCGAGCAACTACAACTGTGTACAGTGCCTGTGCAGTCTTGTGCTAGCCAAAGTGTTCGCGTTCGTCTATCGGCAGGGAGTTGCGAATTGCGAAGCGAGCGTGGGCATCACGAGTCTGCCACTGTGAGCGAGCAGTGCTGTCAGCAGTAGCAGCAGGGGTAGTGACATGGCCGAGGGCGTGATCGTACAGTGAGATGTCATCCTTGGCTGTGAGCTGTAGGTAGAGGTGCAGGTCATCAAGCCAGGTGTCAAACTTTACAGGGCGGCCCTCTGCATCGAACACGAGAACCTGTGGGCTAGCCAAAGGAACAGCAGAAATAGCAGCAGTAGAAGTAGGAGAAGAAGTGAGGACGGATCAGTTAGGGCAGGGCGGCGCGGCTCGGTTGTGGTCAGGTCGCGCGGTTCGGCTGGGTCGCGCGGCTCGGCTCGGAGCGCGCGGCTCGGGTCGCGCGGCTCGGTTCGGTCGCGGGCTGCGGCGGGAACGGGCCGCTCGGGGCCTCTAGGGACGGCGGGCGCGGGGTCGGCGGGGCTGTTTGGGGCCCTAGAGAGGCGAGCGCGAGGCCGATCGGGGCCTGAACGGGGCTAGCGCGGGGCCGACGGGGCCTTATCGGGGCTAGCGCGGGGCCGAGGGGGCCTGAACGGGGCCGACGGGGCCTCTAGGGACAGTTGGCGTGGGGCCGACGGGGCCAGAACGGGGCTAGCGGAGGGCCGACGGGACCTGAACGGGGCTAGGACGGGGCCGACGGGGCTAGAACGGGGCTAGCGCGGGGCCGACGGGGCCTAAACGGGGCTAGCACGGGGCCGACGGGGCCTGAACGGGGCTAGCACGGGGCCGACGGGGCCTTTAGGGGCCGCTAGGTAGGTACACGCGGGGCCGTCAAGGGGGGGGGCCTCTAGGGGCGTGACAAAGCCGAGGCGCCCTAGGGCGCAAGTAGGTAGGTAGGTAGGTAGGTAGGTAGTGGTGGGCCCTTAAAAATTTCGGTCCTATGAAGGACCTGCTCTATACCATGTTGGAATAGCTGAACAGGAATGGATGAACTAACAGTGAAATGAGTACAAGTACCTAACCCTAGAATTGTGTACCCCCTATAGGCTAACCTACTGTAGCCTAAACAACCACTACATATATATAATGTTTGACAAGCACCGCGAGATTTACACGGACTTTTTCAGGGGTACGAAGGACTTACGACGAACTGAAGAAGGTGGCAGCAACAGTGAAGGGGGGAGCGACAGCTGTGAAATTTCATCCCTGCCCAAGAATCATCGACGCATTACGACAAAACTCTCGGAGAAACCATTTCCAACTCTGCTACCGACAACTCGCCTTCGACCCGCCCACGACAACTGCATTAATTCTCAACCACGTCAGGAGCTGCCAGCTGCAACTGCTGAAGATATCGGCTGATTCTGGCGACGTGAAGACAAAACGGTTCAGTTCGAGTATTCGATAATTTTAGTTTCGGTTTCCGGTATACATCTTCGGGTACGCCCTCGAAGAAATTTTGGGCACGTAACACCTGGGATTCGTCATCGAGTTTCCACACCGACGCAAATTTCACCCGGGTCTCTACGCTCACTAGTCTTCTCAGTGGGACTTAACACCTGGTTTTGTTGGTTTTCATCTCAGCGCAGCTGCGAAACTTTTCTGTGGAGCATTTCTTGAAGGGGGGGGGGGGGGGGGGGGGAGAAAGTGCTTTGCACTATTTCTTTCGTCGGCGTTTTTTCGGCACAATTTCTGACTTTGTCAGAATGCAGCAGCACGACAGACGACTGCGATCGCTGCTTCACGATCAACGGTTTCTGCAACATCGCGATTGAATTTCGCGTCAGTAGGTTCCCTCCAATCTCGCGTCAGTCTTCGACCGTCAGATCCACATCTGCTTCATCAACGGCCCACATTCCAACTTCAACTTCATTTTGGGCTAGTTCATCGTCGACCGTCAGATCGAAATCAGACTACATCGACGGCCTACCTTCCAACCTTTTCAAAAATATTATCGAAGACATTTCGGCCGTCGGATTCAGCTGAAGGGGAGATCTACGGCATCCTAGCTAGTGTGGGGTCCGTTTTCAGTACAGGACTGCCTTATTTAGAAGGTGGGAGAGTGTAAGGATTTACAGAATCCTTACTGAGGCACTCGTTAGCGAGGTCATCCCGAGGGTCACGCGACGAACCTGTCCTTCCTATTTCGTCGCACCGAACCACTCCCGAGTCGCCTCCGCTCCAATCGCAACCATCACCGAGCCATCCTCGCCCAGCCTCTCCGCCTAGCTAGGACTTCCCCTATTTAGTCGTGCCTTTCTCATTGTATCGTCATTCAGTACTCAATCATTCTCGATATTCGTTTTACTGCGCACTCTGCAAGTTCATTCATAACAGTTGGTGCCCTTCCCACAACCAGAAACGCGCGAGCTTATCAAACTGTGCACAGTTTGGGATAACACGCAGAGTATTAGGCATAGACCATACCTGTAGACAGGGCAGGGCGTCGGCGTTCACTCAAAAGGGAGTAGATGCGCCATATGATTTGGGTGGCGTGGATTTGCAATGATGACGTGCAAAGCTAGTTTGCGCTGGGTGAAGATTATTGTGTCGAAATGCAGGTTATTGTGCAACTACTCCGTAGCGTAAACTCGTGGCGAAAATCAAATCGCAACCGTTCGCCCAAACGTGACCCTCCCCTCGCCCTCGCTTTCCTTTCCCACGCTTCCGCTCTCTTTCGCCCGCGTCGTCGCCATCGCTTCCGCAGCTCGTCGCATGCCCGTCCCCTTCGCTCCGCCCGTCGCCTTCACTTCTCCCCCGTCGCCTTCACTCCCCCCCCTCTTCCGTTGCCTTCATTTCCCCCTCCCGTCGCCTTCACTTCCCCCTCACGTCGCCTTCACTTCCCCCTCCCGTCGCCTTCAATTCCCCCTCCCGTCGCCTTCATTTCCCCCTCCCGTCGCCTTCATTTCCCCCTCCCGTCGCCTTCATTTCCCCCTCCCGTCGCCTTCATTTCCCCCTCCCGTCGCCTTCACTTCCCCCTCCCGTCGCCTTCACTTCCCCCTCCCGTCACACTCGCTTCCCCACCCCTCACCTTCACTTCCCCTCCCATTGCCTTTAACTCTCTCCTGCTCAATCTCTTTCCCCCTGCTCACTCTCTTCCCCCCTGCTCACTCTCTTTCCCCCTGCTCACTCTCTTCCCCCCTGCTCACTCTCTTCCCCCCTGCTCACTCGCTTCTCCCCTCCTCAATCTCTTCCCCCCTGCTCACTCTCTTCCCACTCTCTTCCCCCGTGCTCACTCTCTTCCCCCCTGCTCACTCTCTTCCCCCCTGCTCACTCTCTTCCCCCATGCTCACTCGCTTCCCCCCTCCTCAATCTCTTTCCCCCTGCTCACTCGCTTCCCCCCTCCTCATTCTCTTTCCCTCTGCTCACTCCCCTTGTTCTAACCCCACTTTCCCCATTTCTCACCCATTTTCCCCCTTCACGCTCTCTTACCCCCTCTGCTCGCCCCTGTTTTCCCAACTCACGCCTATACTCACTCTCTCCCCCCCTGCTCACTCTCTTCCCCCCCTGCTCACTCTCTTTCCCCTTGCTCACTCTCTTTCCCCCCTTCTCACTCTCTTTCCCCCTTCACGCTCTCTTTCCCTCCCTTCTGCCCGTTGCCCCCCTTCGTCTCGCGCTCGTCCCCTCGCAATCCCCGACTCTCTCTCCCCCCGTCGCCCTCGTTTTCCCCGTCGCCCTCCCTTCCACTCCTCGTTGCCCTCGCCATCCCTCCCTTCTCCCTTCCCATCTCGCACACTTGTCACGCCCCCTTTCCAACCCGCACATACACCCTTCCCTTCTTCCCTGTTTCCTCGTATCCCCTGCGCTGCTTCCCCCCATCCTCCGACTTGCTCCCCCCATCCCTTTCCCTGCTTCCCCCCAACCCCTTCCCTGCTCCCCCCCATCCCCTTCCCTGCTTTCCCCCTTCCCCTTCCCTGCTTCCCCCCGTCCCCTTCCCTCCTTCCCCCGTCCCCCTCCCAGCATCCCCCCATCCGCTTCCCTGCTCACCCCCATCCCCTTCCCTGCTCCCCCCCATCCCCTTCCCTGCTTCCCCCTATCTCCTTTCCTGCTTCCCCCTATCGCCTTCCCTGCTCACCCCTACTCCCTCTATTTCACCCTTGCTCCCTCCCCTTCTTCTCTGCTCACTCTCTTCCCCCTTGCTCACTCTCTTTACTTCTGCTCACTCTGTTCCCCCCTGCTTCCTCTCTTCCCCTCTGTTCAATCTGTCCCCCGCTGCTTCTTCTCTTCCCCTCTGCTCATTCCGTCTACTGTCTTTCCCCCTTCACTCACCCCCATACCCCCCAATGCAACATGTGCTAAGCACCAGATGTGGCTTTACCACGGCCTGGTTCATTGCTTGTAGTGTAGCAGACAAAACCGGAAAACAACATTACACATACACCCCCTAGCTTTGTTCCCTTCTCGAGTCTGGTGATTCCCCTTACTTTACAAATACGGTAATATATTAATTGTTGAACTCCTTGGTATTGGTCATGCGTATGATTGCTCTGAGGCTCATAATACTGTATTATAAAAAAAGAATCCAATATATGGCATGGCTATACGTGTGTTACTATCAGACAGCTAGCACATGCACAACCAGATGCAGAGCAGACCTGTCCAAACACAAATCAAGAAGTCAGATGTGACGTGGCTGAAGTATAAGGGAATGACAACTGGCAAATGAGGAAGGGAGGAACGGAGGAAGGGAGGAAGTGAGGAATGCAGGAATGAAGGAAGGGAGGAAGTGATGATGGGAGGAAGGGAGGTAGGGAGGACGCTTGGGGGAGAAGCAGAAGGGAGGGGAGGAAGAGAGGCTGGGGAGGAGGGTGGGGAGGAGGGTGGGGAGGAGGGTGGGGAGGAGGGTGGGGAGGAGGGTGAGGAGGAGGGTGGGGAGGAGGGTGGGGAGGAGGGTGGGGAGGAGGGTGGGGAGGAGGGTGGGGAGAAGGCTGGGGAGGAGGCTGGGGAGGAGGGTGGGGAGGAGGGTGGGGAGGAGGCTGGGGTGGGGCGGAATGGGGTGGGCCAGAAAGGGGTGGGGCGGAATGGAGTGGGGCAGAAAGGGGTGGGGCGGAATGGGGTGGGGCGGGGCGGAATGGGGTGAGGCGGATTGGGGAGATGAGGGATGGGGAGATGAGGGATGAGGAGATGAGGGATGGGGAGGTGTGGGATGGGGAGGAGAGGGCTGGGAAGGAGAGGGATGGGGAGGTGAGGGATGAGGAGGTGAGGGATGGGGAGATGAGGGAAGGGGAGATGAGGAATGGGGAGATGAGAAATGGGGAGATGAGGGAAGGGGTAATGAATGAACGTGTATGCGACGGAAGGGTGCTGCTGACCACGCACCCTCCCACACCGCACACAATGGGAAGGGATGAGAGGGTCCGCGGCATGGGTAGAGAAGCGATGGTGAATAGGGGGAATGTGATGGGCAGGGGAGTGATGACGACGTGGAGAGAGGAGGAGAGAAGGGAGGTCGGCGGGAAGGCTAAGCGAGGACGATGGGAGGGCAAGCGTGGGCGACAGTGGCGGTGGGCGACGGTGGGGGTGGGCGACGGTGGCGGTGGGCGACGGTGGGGAGAAGCGTGGGCGACGGTGGGGGGAAGCGTGGGCGACAGTGGGGGGAAGCGTGGGCGACGGTGGGGGGAAGCGTGGGCGATGGTGGGGGGAAGCGTGGGTGACGGTGGGGGGAAGCGTGGGCGACGGTGGGGGGAAGCGGGGGCGACGGTGGGGGGAAGCGTGGGCGACGGTGGAGGGAAGCGTGGGCGACGGTGGGGGGAAGCGTGGGTGACAGTGGGGGGAAGCGTGGGCGACGGTGGGGGGAAGCGTGGGCGACGGTGGGGAAAGCGTGGGTGACGGTGCTCCGAAGCGTGGGCGACGGAGGGAGGAATCGTGGGCGATGAGAGGGGAAACGTGAGGGAAGGTGGGGAAAGGCGTGAGCGACGGTGTGGGGGAAGGCCGGAGGAAGCGTGAGCGGCGATAAGGGGAAGCGTGAGCGACGGAGGGGAAAGCTTGGGCGACGGTGGGAAGAGTGGGCGTGTGCGTGGGGAGGTGTGTGAGAGACAGTGGGGAGAAGCGTGGGGGACGCGGAAGGCGATAGGTCCAAATGCGATGTTTGGGAAAGAGCTAGGAATAAAAGTGAAAATGCTCATGGCCTATGCTGTAGTGGCGTTTTATTCTATATCTTCGCATACTCTAATCGCTTCGCGTACCTCACATAAAACACAACCCCCCATATCTGTCAAACTTATATGCTATAGTCTGTGTGAGCTGTAGTGGGGTAGTTCATATGGGGTACAACACTTCAGGGTTTCCTACTTGTACTCCTCATGCTGCTCAATGCAATCATTCCTCATTTCTTCACATGGTATAGAGCAGGTTCCCTAGTGGGAACGCTTCTCAGGGCCCACCACTGAAATTGATTTTTTTTTTCCTGACCGGAGCGCGAGTCGCCCCTGCCCGAGGCGCGCCCCGTTGGCCACCCTCACGTCGCCTCTCACGGCCCCTCGTGCCACCCTTAGCAGCCTCGTCGCCACCCCTTACGGCCCCGTCGCCGTCCTTTGCGGCCCCGTTGCCGCCCCTCTAGGCCCCTCGCGGCCCCTTGGTGGCCCCGTCGCCACCCCCTCTAGGCCCCTCGCGGCCCCTTCGCGGCCCCGTCCCCGCCCCTAGCGGCCCCGTAGCCGCCATTCGAGGCCCCTCGCGGCCCCTTTGCGGCCTCGTCGCCGCCCCTAGCGGCCCCGTCGCCGCCCCTATTGGCCCCGTCGCCGCCCCTAGCGGCCCCGTCGCCGCTCCTAGCGGCCCCGACGCCGCCCTTCGCGGCCCCGTCGCCGCCATTCGCGGCCCCGTCGCCGCCCTTCGCGGCCCCGTCGCCGCTCCTAGCGGCCCCGTCGCCGCCCTTCACGGCCCCGTCGCCGCCCTTCGCGGCCCCATCGCCGCTCCTAGCGGCCCCGTCGCCGCCCTTCGCGGCCCCATCGCCGCCTCTAGCTGCCCCGTCGCCGCCCTTCGCGGCCCCGTCGCCGCCTCTGGCAGCCCCGTCGCCGCCTCTACCGGCCCCGTCGCCGCCCTTCATGGCCCCTTCAGCTGCCAAGCAGCCGAACCGCCGAGCCGTCGAGCCGGCCAGCCGCCGAGCCGCCCAGCAGCCGAGCCGCCTAGCAACCGAGCCGCCCAGCAGCCGAGCCGCCCAGCAGCCGAGCCGCCCAGCAGCCGAGCCGCCCAGCAGCCGAGCAGCCGAGCTACCGCGCCGCCGAGCCGCCGTGGAGCCGCTACTGTTCCTACCGGCGCGCACCGGCCCTACCCACCCGGACTGGTGAGAGCACTCCCTACTAGCCTACTGCTGTCATGGCTACCCCCAGTGTCCTTACCTTTGATGCTGAGGGTCGTGCTGTTGACTTTGAGGTCTGGGTCGATGACCTACAGCTCTTCCTACAGTGCGATAGGGCAGACAGACTCTCCCTGTTTGATCTCACCTCTGGTGCCTCTCCTGCCCCACCTGCTACTGCTGACAGCACTGTACGCTCACAGAGGGCCACACGCGATGCTGCTGCCCGTCTTGCTGTGCGTCGCCACTTACCGACCACTGAGCGTGCGCACTTTAGTCAGTACAAGAGTGCTAAGACCTTGTACGACGCTGTAGTTGCACACTACTCTTCCCCTGCCACTGCTGCTCTTAGCCGCCTCATGCTGCCGTACCTGTTCCCTGACCTTGCTGCCTTTCCCATAGTCGCAGACCTCATTACGCACCTTCGCACTAGTGACACTCGCTACCGCGCTGCGCTTCCTGCTGAATTCTGTGCCAAGAACCCCCCCCCCCATGTACATCACCCTCTACTACATAGTCACCCGGCTCCCTGACTCCCTTCGCTTAGTAAGGGACCACTTCCTCTAAGTTTGCCCCACCACTATCACCGTTGACCTCCTCGAGGAGCACCTCCTTGCAACAGAGAAGAGCATAGTCGCTGTAGGAGCCTCTCGTGGTGACCCTCGTACCCCCGTCTTTGAGGGGTGTTCCCCCTCCCCCCTCTTGCCATCTGTTGCTTCTGCTGCTGCGGCCGACCTCGTTGGCTTCGAGTCGATGGGCGCTGCATCTGCCCCTTGCGGTACACGCCGCACCGGCAAGGGCAAGAGGGGCAAGGGCGTTGGAGGGGCTGGCGGGGGCGGTGGAGGTGGTGGTGGAGGCAGTGGAGGGGGTGGGGGTGGTGGTGGGAGTGGTGGCGGGGGTGGAGGTGTCGGTGGCAGCAGTGGAGGCGGAGGAGGCGGCGGCGGTGGCGTTGGGAGCGGAGGCGACGGAGGTGGCGGAGGCGGCGGCGGCGGTGGCGGCGGAGCTGGTCGCGGCACTGCACAGAGGAGTGGCTCCGGTGGTGGTCCGCTCCAGCCCCAGCAGCTTCGTGAGTGGTACGCTGCGCGTCAGCGAGGTGGGAGTACTGGTCCCTGTACCTACGTCCTCCGTACCGCCGACCGCGCTGGTGAGCAGTGCGGGGGCTCGCACTCCACCCAGCGCTGCTTCGGCCGCCTGACAGACGCTTGGCGTCACCACTTCCCTGACGCCACTGAGATCCCTGGCTGGGGAGAGCTGTCTAGGGTGGGGGTTGCCATCTTTGATCTTGATTTTGATGCTATTCTTGCTGCCATGTATGCTGTGTCTACTAGTGATGAGGGTGACTGTTACGTGTGTGTTCCGCCTGACCCGGGCATTAAGGCTGCTGCTCTAGGTGCTGGTGAGGCTGCTGCTCTAGGTGCTAATGCGTCTGCTGCCCCAGGTGCTGGTGAGTCTGCTCTCTCAGGTACCACATCAGCTCAAGCCTTACACACCTTCACCCTTGACTCGGGTGCTTCCCGCTCCTTCTTTCGAGACCACACTACGCTTACGCCGCTTAGTCGGCCGGTTGCGGTCTCCCTGGCGGACCCCTCTGGGGATCCTGTCCTTGCTTGCTTCTCCACTGTCTTACCGTGCCCGGCAGCCCCCTTTCGCACCCTGTCAGGTCTCTACCTCCCCTAGTTCTCTACGAACTTGGTGAGTGGTGCTGACCTACAGGATGGGGGGGTTGACCAGTTCACTCCTGCGAGTCAACGGGTGACCCACTGCACGTGTGCTCGGACGGGCCGACACTTGGCCACGTTTACCCGTCGGCCGGGGTCGAGCTTGTACACACTGACTACTGAGTCTCCTATGGTTGCTGAGTCTGGTCAGGCAGCTGCGTTGGGTTAGGTGTTTGCTGCAGCGTCCAGGTCTGGTCCTGAGTCTGCTCCCTGCTCGTGTCGTCTCCTGTCCCACCAGACTCTCCTTTGGCACCACCGCCTTCGTCACCCCTCCCTGCCTTGTCTCCGAGGAATGGCCTCCCGTTTTCTTGTCTCTAGTTTCCCCCGGTCCCTCCCTCCCCTCCCTCCGAGGCCTGACCCTACCTGCGATCCCTGCAAGGAGGGGCGGCAGCGCGCCGCCCCTCACTCCTCCGAGTTTCCTCCGACAGAGGTTCCTTTGCAGACTCTTCACATGGACGTGTGGGACCCCACCCGCGTCCGTGGCCAGGGTCACGAGCGTTACTTCCTGTTGGTGGTTGACGACTACTCGCGTTAGACCACGGTGTTCCCCTTGCGCAGCAAGGGTGACGTCACTAGGGTGTTGATCGACTGGATCCGCGCAGCTCGTCTCCAGCTCAGAGAGAGTTTCGGCTCGGACTTTCCAGTTGTGCGTCTGCACTCTGACAGAGGCGGGGAGTTTTCCTCTTCCCGTCTGGGAGCCTTTTGTCGTGCACAGGGCATCCGCCAGACCTTCACGCTTCCGGCCTCTCCACAGCAAAATGGGATTGCTGAGCGCCGCATTGGCATGGTCATGGACGTCGTTCGTAAGTCAATGATCCATGCGCTTGCTCCCCATTTTCTGTGGCCGTTTGTGGTTCAGTACGCAGCGCATCAGCTCAACCTTTAGCCCCGAGTCTCCTTGCCAGAGACCTCCCCCACCTTGCGTTTGACAGGGAAGGTTGGCGATGCGTCTGCGTTTCGGGTCAGGTGATCTCGGGCGTTTGTCCGCGACTTGTCTGCGGACAAGCTGTCCCCACGTGCTATTCCCTGCGTCTTCCTTGGCTTCCCCCCTGGCGCGCCTGGTTGTTAGTTTTACCACCCCACCTCGCACCGTGTTCTGTCCTCCCAGAACGTCACCTTTGACGAGTCGGTGCCTTACTACCGTCTCTTCCCCTACCGCACTGCGCCCCTCCCCGGCCGCCGCTCTTCCTTGCACCAGGTCCTCCCCGGGTAGACCCTCTCCCCCCTCAGGGTCCTGCCCCGTCAGGTGTGTCCCAGGTGGACGCAGTCGAGCCTGCCGAGGTAGCTGTTAACTCTGGTGCTGAGTCTAGGGGTGCTGAGCCTGCGGGTGCCGGGTCTGGGGGTGCTGAGCCTGGGGGTGCGGAGCCTGGGGGTGCAAAGCCTGGGGGTGCTGAGCCTGGGGGTGCGGAGCGTGGGGGTGCTGGGACTGCTCGTCTGGCCTCTGGCGGTGCTTCGTCGAGGCGGGAGCCACCCTCTCCGCATGAGCTGCGCGAGTGGTTTGCCCAGCGTTGGAGCCGTGCTGCTGGAGCTGGAGGTGCTACTGTTGCTGCTGGTCCTGGAGGTGCTCGTACTGGCGGTACTAGAGCAGCTGGGACTAGGGGTGCTGCTGGGGCTACTGGAGTTGGTCCTGCTGGAGGTACTGCTGGAGCTGCTGGCGGTACTAGAGCTGACGGTCCTGCTGGAGCTGGAGCTGTTGGAGTTGGAGCAGTTGGGGATGTTGGCGCTGGAGGTGCTGCTGGCGCTGGTACTTCTGAGGGTGCTGGAGTTGGCGCTAGTGGATCTGGAGGTGCTGCTTGCGCTGGTGCTGCCGCTGGGGGTAC